GCCTTTTTCGCTCCCGCGTGAGCATTGACGAACTTATTTGCCATTTCTTCGAACATTGATATCGATCGTGCTGGTAGTTGGGAATACCATGTCAGCGCTCCCCCTGTCAGAGTTTTGCCAAACTTTTTCAACAGCACTGACGTCACATGTTCATTCGATAGATCATTACCTTTTACTGCAGTAACATAATGGATTAAGTGATCCTCCGGGTCCGTGGTGCCATCATATATTTTCAAATATGGCGGCATTTTGAAGGTTTTCGAAATAGAGTGGGGAGCTGCCCCTTCGTTGTAAGGCTGTTCGACGATTCGGCCCACATAACGTTTTGGTAGCAACTTCAGATCGCCCGGTATTTTATCAACCCTTTCCTGATGCTCTTTCATTTGGTCGCGGAGTGTTTTGTTCTCATTTTCCATCTCTTCCATTTTTTTTAAGATGGCCGCAAGTGCATCGTTGCTTGCATCAATGACAATATGGGTGTTACCTGTTCGTGGAGTTTCTGGCTCATCGGCGACAGTTGCGGTTCTTGCGGATATTGTGCCTTCGATATCCCTCTGAACGTGTTTCTCGAGTATATTACTCAAGGTGTTTGTCAACCATTCTTCTAATAGCCTTTTCACGACCGGTGGTGCTTCTTCTGTTGCGGATGTTGAGTTTTCCCTCTCGCGCGAGACAGTTAAGCCCTCGTGCAGGGTGGGGGTGAGATCTCTCCCTCAGGTGTAGTACTTGGTGTTGCGTTTTCATTGTCTTCCCTACCGGCTTCGTTGAGGGAATTCAGGAGGTTGTTCGTGACACCTACTATTGCCTTTAGCCTTGCTTCTCCCTTTTCCTACCATTGTTGGCCTTTGTGAGGCTAAGAAGAGGCGATTATTTCTTTCAAGAATCTAGATGAAACTAAGATCTCAGCTATAGAAATCCCCACAGACGACGTCAAATTGTTTGACTCAAAAGATATCGGAACCTTTTTGAATAAATCAATCAAAGAAAATGAAGGGGTAAATCTTAGATAAGTATAATAATCTCTAAAACAAAAGATATATAGGGAGAATATGGGTGATGAGAATTCTTTATCAAGACCAAAAAACCTTTTTAACGATAATCCTTTCCGTCGCTTTTGTAAGCAAGTTACAACAAGTGTTATGTATTAGGAAAAGTGTCCAGCCCTTTACAAGGTTGTTTTACGCTATATATATAAGGAGCAAAACCCTTCTAAGCTCTAAAAGATAAGTTACAGAGAATATTCGAAAGAATATTCCTAATGTCCCCTAATGGGTCTGCACTACTGCAAGGGTCGTACAATCTCTTGTTCGTCTTAAGGTCGTCCTCTGCAAGATGTCGAGCTACGATGATCTCATCGTTCGTCATATTCATTGACGGTTGGGTTGTTCAAATTTGGACCCATACAGTATTCCTGTAATTGAAATACATCACCTTTGAGATTTTGGTGATGTAATTATAAGGACTTTTCATGAAAACTAATTAAGTTGGCCTACTCTTTGCCATTATTGTTTTGCGTGGTTATTGATGGGTTAGAAAGAACCTTTGAGACAGACACCCTTGTGATTGTCATTGTATGGCTCAATCACCACAACATCGGAACAAATATTTTCACGACTTTGGTGTAGTGATAAGAGTACTGTACACACGTTACAAATTCGTACATTGTCACAAAAATGAAGTATTTAAATGGAGAAGAATACATACGTAATAAGCTTGGAACTGTATAAATCGAGATTGAGTCGTCTATACCAGCGTCACTAGCCGAAACCAACTCCACCATCCAAAGTAGGTTATACTATACAAAAGAAAAGCGAAGGTCTAAATGTTGAAAACTGAAAAAGAAAAGAATATATGACAGGGCGACAGAGGTTACGGCTTTATGCCTTTATTCATTCTTTCATGTCAATTTAGCGATTATGGGGAGATTCATTCACTCCCTTCACTAAACTTAGATTCACTCGTATTCAGATACCCTACCCTACCCTCCTTCCACCAATATATATTTATTATATGCAAAAAAAAAAAAAAAG